TTGAAATTGGTGAATTCAATTCTATGAAATTGAATCTCATGGAATTTTAATTCCAATTCAATTCCAATTCCTTCAATTCCGTGTACCAAACGGACTCTTAGATGCTTATATAGCTCTTTAAGTTTTGTAGAGAACTTGGTTGACTCTAAGCTTAACAGGCAAACACTAATTTGGTGGTACCTAAGAGTAAGAACTTAGTTTGAGGTGTTATTGGTTTTTGCATAGATACCCAATACACCATTCAGTTACAGTTGAATACGCCATGACTTGTGGACTGATATAAAAATATATCCCGCCATTGGAATTATTTTTTCATTATTATGCACTGTTTGAGGATTGTATGTTTGGCTTGTCAGCATGATTCTTAATGATAAATATCAAAATGCACTAATCTTCATATTTTCTTCTCAGGTATGGGAATGCTAATGTCTGGAAGACATTCACGGATCTCTTTGACTACTTTCCTTTAACTGCATTGGTTAGGGATTTGTTCTATATATTATTGTGTTCGATCCTATAAACTTCACCACAAATATGATATCAATATCTTCCTTTTGATTAATTTTTTTTAAAGTCCCCACCCCACCACTTGCGAAATGCATTTACTATTGTTTTAAATTATTCCACCCATTCCAACAATCCAACAAGAGTCAGTTTATCCATACCATTTTTCATGTGTGGTGCCAAAAGATGGCCAAGTAATTTTTAAACAATTCCCATGTGGCATATTAAGTTCAACAAAAGTACAAAGTATAAAGTTTAAAAATATTGGTAGGATTGAATAAAAGTTAGGGGTCGTACTTTGCTAAAATTTAAATGTTGTAGCTCAACCTAACACGGCTTTTGTTGTTGGGATAGAGGGAGTATTATTTAGCCATTGGTAATGCTCTCTAAACCATGTAATAGATTTTTTTATCTGTATCGTAACATTTACTACTTTTTTTTGTTAATACACCTTTCTTAGAAAAGCTGCTGAAAGAATGTCTAATGTTTTATATATGGAATCTTCTAGGTTGAATCGGAAATATTTTGTTTGCATGGTGGGTTGTCCCCGTCTATTGAGACCCTTGATAATATAAGAGGTTTTGATCGTGTTCAAGAAGTGCCACATGAAGGCCCCATGTGTGATCTTTTATGGTCCGACCCTGATGATCGCTGTGGTTGGGGCATATCACCACGAGGCGCTGGCTATACCTTTGGCCAGGTTCTTCTGCCTCCTCACTTCCAACCCCTCCCCCCACCCAAATAAAAATCCTATTTAAGTGTTTTTCTGGTGGCTTCTATCTACCTATGTCCATTTTGTCTGATTTCCATATATGTGTAAACTTCTTGTAGGACATATCTGAGCAATTCAACCATACTAACAATCTGAAACTCATAGCAAGAGCCCATCAACTAGTTATGGAAGGATATAACTGGAGCCATGTAATTATTTATCATTACTCTCTAGTCATAAAATCACAACGTACCATATTTATTTTCCTTTGATTCGATAGGTTTTTCATTTTTAAATTTTCCCAATTTGTTGTGATTGACACAGGAACAAAAGGTGGTCACCATTTTTAGTGCACCAAACTACTGTTATCGCTGCGGTAACATGGCCTCTATCTTGGAAGTTGATGACAGCAACGAACATACATTTATTCAGGTGCCTGTTCTTTCACACACCCTTACATACTCCCGGGCATATTTGGGCGGAGGGGAGATGAAGGATCATTCAAATGATTTTCACATGCATATTTTCTTGCTATACAATTGTATATAAATTACAGTATTGATATTCCTGGCCCTTCCTAATTTCAAACTATAGGGAGCCTTGTACTCTTGTCTCTACCTGAAGACCCTTGAACACACCTCTTATTTAAACAAGCTTCCATTACGTAAATAGTTTTTTTTTCAAAAACAAATGACCATTAAGCAACCTAATAAAATTAGACAAAATTGTCAGTTCTCTTATACTCCGTATTAACTTGTTGCTCTAAATACCCTGAAACAAGTAGGGGCATCTTTGGCAAATTGTGACAATTGACAAAAAAATGCATTAAATTAAAAACATAAATTTTCTTTCTTAAAGGTTGGAAGGGACTATTGGGTTTTTACTCCGTACATTTTTATACCCACATTTTCTGAGGATCTGAGTTATTTTACATTATTACTATGTGACTGCAGTTTGAACCAGCTCCAAGAAGGGGAGAACCCGATGTTACCCGGAGGACTCCTGATTACTTCCTTTAAAGGCATCTGACTGTTGCTGGTCCATTGACGAGTCATCTCCTGGGCTAAGTAAGACATAAGGTACCCTAAAGCCCGAGGCTCATGTAAAATGGTACAGATCCCACCCCACCCCACCCCACCTGGATTTGAGTCACTTTCTAACCTGTATTAGGCATAATAGAAGTGGGGAAGTGCTGCAGCAGCATTGCTGCATTGTGACATTTTATGGATCATCCCCCCACCCCCACCCAAACCCCCACCCACCAAATCCCCCTTGTTTTTTTATTATTCATTAAACTTTTATTTTCTGTGTCAATGAATATCCAGTGTGTTTTTACCATATGAGGCTAAGAATTCTGTTTCTGCTTTGCTAATGTAACCATGTATGTGTGTGGTTTTTAATTATTTTTTTTAACTTCTGTTTTTTTGCCATTTCGTGAATGTATTTTCATCAAGGGACGAATCCCATTCTTTGTGGAACATAATTGATTATTATTTTTCTTTCAATGTGAGGGATTGCCTGAATCTGGTACTTCTTTTTCCTTGAAAAGATTGCTTTTTTCACATAGCCACACATACCTCTGAAGTATATTAAGTACATGATTTACATTTTTTTTTGGGCTGAGCTTAAAACTAAAATATTACTTCCTCTGGTTCAAAATTTTTTTTCTTGGTTTAACTTTTTTAGCCAAATAGTTATATTATTTGACTACAAATTAAATGTAATCTTAATAAATAAATGTTATAATAGTTTGACATATCAAAATTGTATTCTAAGATGAACCTAATTATGTTGAGTTTATATTATAATTCAATATAGTTTGTTTGCAATTTATGATCAAAGAGTATCACTGTTTGACCAAAAAAATCCAGTCAAGTATTCGTGGATGCGGTTATGTTGATGGGCCTTAGTATGGCCAAGTGGGCCAATCACTTGAGGTAAGGCTCGATCTTACAAGAAGAGAGTATTGTACTGGTAATGGAAAACTATTGGAGTGGGTGCAAGATTGCTTCAATATACAATATATTGTGAGATTATTTTTTTATTCTTATTTCATTGAGTTGTGTGAGAGTTCTAAGGAGCTATGAGTTTGTGCACTTCACCTTATTTTTATTACTTATTTTGTATTACTTATTTTTATTGAAATTATATTAGAAATACCATTAAATATCACTATAACTAAATCATCTACAATTAAACCTTAATAAAATTAGATTGGACAAAGAGAACAAACTTTATGGTAGGATGAAAAAAATTAACGCTAAAAATTCACGGGCTTGGAAAACACGATGAACAATATTGTGGCGCAATTGAATCTGGTGACTGAGAGGTTGATCCCAAGCCCATTCCATCCACCTTTCTTTGTTGATCCTAACGCTCATCGCTAATAGCTTGGGACTCGTGTATCATTGCTTTTTTTGACATATCATTGAAAGATGGATTAGTTGGAATAGCTTCGAAGGCAAGGCAAGAGGAGATCGAACAGGAGAACGAGCAAATTTGGGTGTATAGTGAGTAACTTATGCTCTATGTCTGAACGATCAATGTAAGACACAGACATAACTAGCCTATCTCTTATACCCCTATGGCCCCTATCCCATGACCAAAGCTGGCCACAAGACGTGGAGGTTGTAGCACGAGGGGCTGGGGTATTTGGGAGGCTATTTAATGGATGGTGCTAGTGTCTGAAAGGTTGGGACTCAATCCTCGAATTGTATGACTCACATTAATTTTCTCTTTTCTGCACAAATTTCTTATACATGAATTCACTATACTTAAACTCCCTATAAAAAGCAAATGGGAAGAGTAAAGGAAGTACTCTCTAAATAAAAGTAAAATAACATGAAAAATATCAAAGTAAGAGTAACAATTCTCTAAGACCTAAATATAGGAGTCCGAACTATCATCATCAATTATTGTCGCACGACCATCTGCCACGCCATACTACCATCTATCGCCGTTGTGAGATTGTCGGAACACCACCCTGGGTTGTTGAAGAACTGTCGTTAGCCGCTGTGAGTTCATCATAGTGCCATCAGTGTTGTCCACCAGTGACCAGTTGTTCACCACTTCGATGCCACCATACTGTCATTACACTGTTATTTAGAGGATTAAAACTATATACTCTTATTTTTTATTCTGATTATATTTTATTACTATCTAGAGACATTTTTTAAGAGTAAATAGGGGAGGATGGATAATATATTATACTTCAGGGTATGAATTAGGTAAGAATGACCCTGACTTCGAGAAATGAGAATGTTGCATTTTTTATCCACTGTGATGCATTTTATACTTGTAGTTGTGCATTTTCGGCACTACAAATTCGATTTATTTATAAAAATATCATCGCAATTTTTTCATTTTTTTTAGATATTTTACTTTTAATAGCACTTAGATCTTAAATCTAATGAAGCGTATGTATTTTTATTCCTTTCCCATTACCTCAGTTTCAAACCAAACTTTTATACTTACTCGGTATCATTTTGAAAAAAGTGGAACGCCCACCTTCGGTGCCCCAACACCCTAGTACAACAGGATTGTGGAGAGAGTAAACCATGATATAATCTTAATATGGTTCTTATAGAGGTTGCTCCGTGCCCAATACATATAAGAAACTATTACAAATAATAGAACTCTCTATCCGGAATTAAATCTCCCATATCCCAATTTAGTTCCGATTTTGAACAAGATCCTTATCCACCCCACCAAAAGACTAAAAAAAGAGTTGAAAATGAAGTGCTGCTGACACCTTCCCTTTTTGTCCTATCTGTACCAATCCTAACCTCTCCCGTCTCTTCTTCATCATCTCCTCACATGGCGATCCTCATTTTTTCCTTCTTTCTCTCTTCACTCTACGCGCCGCCCATTTTGCCCTACTCTTGTTTCCTTCCCCCCTTCTTCCGCCCGACCCGCAATCCTCTCCGTCGTCGCTGCTGAGCGTCTCCTGCCTGCTTGCATCCTCCATTAATGGCCTCATAATCCTCGCTTTCTCCGATGGCCTCCCTCACTCCCGGCGTCTTGCTCAAGCTTCTGCAGAATGTGGAGAACAAGGACGCGAAGGTCGTCAGCGAACACCGCTCCGCTCTCCTTCAGGTAGCCTTGTAATTTCTCGCGAATGTGGATTTCTCGTGTTCTATTTCTTCGGTTTTCTGCAATGCTGGGCTGGTCTAGATCTAGATGTTCGATTTTGTTACTTACCGAGTTGTTTTGAACTTTCTGATAGGTGATTGGCATCGTACCTTCGCTGGAAGATGATCCGTGGAAGAGCAGGGGATTTTACCTTAGGGTTTCGGATTCTCAGCACTCGGCTTACGTTTCTGTGGCAGACGAAGATGCCGAGTTGATACTGGGTGACAAGATCCAACTCGGGCAGTTCATTCACGTGGCTCGCCTGGAGAAGGGCTCCCCCGTGCCGGTGCTCAGGGGTGTGAAGCCGGTGCCGGCGAAGAGGCGACCGTGCATTGGGGAGCCCAAGGATTTGATTTCCAGCGATGTTTTGACGCCGCGTGGTCGGGCTGAGGTCAAGAAGGTGAAGAAACACGGGGATGTGAGAAAATTAGAGGTTAAAGCGAAAGGACCAGTCGGGAGTGGAGATTTGAAATCAAGAAGACACTCCATTGATGCTGGTATGGGAATGAGGAGAATGAGATTGGATTCAATGAGAAGAGGATGGGACCGGAGTGATGGTGGGATGAATGGGGCCGGATTTGATTCGAAGTCCATGTCTGAGAAGAGCCATTCTCTCAAGGGGGCTAGCACAGATTCTGTAAGTCATTAGTGTAGATCTTGTTGTTTTAAGAACTTCTGTTGTCTTTAATTGATAAATAAGAGCACAGTCAAGTGGCCCCTAGGCACACTAGAGAAGCTGGCTGCCCAATTAAGACGTTAAGAATCTGATACAAAAGTAATCTTTTCGACTAAGAAGAAAAAAAGTGTAGTTGTGTATGATTTGCTTATTTGTTTGAAATTCATTTTACCATATTCTTTTCCTTTATAAAAAATTGGCTCAGCCATTTCAGCGTCACCCAACGTGCCCGTCATGAGATTCTCTATGTTCTATCATGTTTGCAGGTTTGTTCTCAGAAGAAAGTCCATTTGGAGAAAGAATTGACACCAAGGCATTCTAGAATGGACGCTTCACCACTTCAAAATAAGAACACCGTTGTTCCTCCAAAACTTGTTAGCAAGCCTAGTAAGAAAGATGATGAGACTCTTCCAAATCCTTTGATGAAGGTGGATGTCAAATTTAAGAGTTCTTCAGACTCAAAGATATTGTGGAATTCACTTCCATCAACCCTGAGAAATCTAGGGAAGGTAAGTAAAGAAAGAGTGGGTGGAGCTCGCGTTCATCTTTTTCTTGGATTTGCTGTGCCATTTTGTTTAAAACTAATCAGAGTGTTTCCTTAGCAGGAAGTTGTGACTTGTAAGATGGTTGCATTTGCTTCTGCAATGCATGCACTAGAAGAAGCTTCTGCTGAAGATGGCGTCATAAGTTGCATGAGGTTAGAATTTTAATATTCGATTTTCGTACGATATTATCTTCTTAAAGTTCAATGTGAATTGACCTATGGTTATCTCAGTTTAGGTTGGTTTCAGTTTGGTTTTAGTTTGGTGTTTTTTGTTCAGCACCACCTTGTATATGGTAGTAGTAGTTGACATCATTCCCATTTTGCTAGCATGTTTGCAGAGCTATGTGAAATGGCAGAAAAATGCTCTGCAGGACCAGTGGTAGAGAAATTCTTGAAGCTTCATGAAAACTTGCAGAGAGCACTTGCAGTCATTCATGCACTGCTGAACCAGAAACCCCCAGAAACAAAAATCAAAGATGGTTTTGGCTCACACTCTCCATTCCCAGAGATGTGCAAGAACAAAAATGCAGCAGCATTATGGGTCCAAGCTGCTCTAGACTCAAACCTCTCAAACCTTTGCCTGTTCTCAAAGCCGCAGAGAGGAGGAAGAAGCAGCAGCCCTGCTTGTGGTGAGAAACACTACTACTGTGCTATAATAGAGAATACCATCCCCAAGAAATCCGAGAACCTTTTAACAACAGATAGGAAAACCCCCAAGAACTGCGACTCTAACCAAACCAAACCAATCAAACCCAGTAGTATATCCCACTCAAGAGTAACGTCCGATAAACCCAAACTGGGTCAAGTGAAGTCAAAAGGAGAGAGACTGAAGGATGCTTGTATCTTAGCTGAGAAGTTGCTTTCTTTTTCCCAGAGATGGTTTCTGAATTACTTGGAGAATAGGTTAGACATGGAGTTTGAGGTGAGGAAGGGAAGCAACGAAGGGTGCCCCGAAATTGTCGGGCTATTGGGGCAGCTCAGAAGGGTTAATCAGTGGCTGGATGGGTATTCTAGTAGTAGACAGGAAGGGGATGAAGCTGATGAAAACATAGAAGGCCTGAGAAAAAAGTTGTATAGGTTTGTGCTAGATCATGTGGACTCTTCTTCCATAGTTGTAGGGTAGAGTGTACTCAGTGTAGGACTGTACCTTAGCTAACCCTCCTTATCACATTTATAACTCTGACTTTGTGATCATATCATAGAGATATTGAGAGCAACAGTTGAGCCTTTCTCTCAAAAATATGTAACTGATCAATCATTGTGAACTATGGATTATATATGAACTGGTGTTTTAACATTAATTCCTAAAACTGGTGGATGTAATGGTTGCTTTGTGCTATATTGGGCCAGATAGCTCCGGTGCCTTCCGTGGTTTGAAAAATTGGCACCAATAACTCTTCTATTTTTTAAACTTATTTCTAAAGTCCATGTGGTTTAAAATCGTTGTACCCTTACTCTCTCTGATAATTTTCGGGTAATTTTCCGGCAATGATGGGGCATTGGTGCTTATTTTTTAAACCATAGAGGGCACTCATGTTCATTTTTATTATAGGTTTATTATTTGTTTTTTATATTCGTTTTTATCTGATTTGTTTCCTTTTCTAAGAATTTTTTTGTAATTTTCTTTTCAATTTTTTATAATGTTTTAACAAATTCCAAATTTTGTGTTTGAAATAAAAAAACATATACTCCATCTATCTCAAAATAAATAAAAAATAAGAAATGAGCACTAAGTAGGCACCATTGCACCAATGCCTTAAAGTGGTCGGAAAATGATCCGAGGAAGTTTGGAAGTAGGGGGGTATGCGAATCGAATCGAAACAAATTTATTACTATTCGATTCGTATTCGATTAAAGTGCTACGTATTCGAATTCGGATTCGTATATAATTTGAATTTTAAAAAACATTCGTATTCGATTCTATAGATATTTGACGTATTTGAATTCGTATTCGAATTCGAAAATATAAGAATTTTTTTTAAAATAGATTTCTTAAAGACATTAAATTATTATTTTATAATAATGTAAAATATAGTAAAAAAATGTAGTAAAATATGTTAGAATATATATAAATTTATTTATAAATCATAATATTCGAATATATATATAAATTTAAATGTACACAAAAATTTGATATATTAAAATATGTTAAAATATGTACACAAATATTTAATATATTAGAATATATATATATATATATGTGTGTGTGTGTGTGTGTGTGTGTGTGTGTGTGTATATATATATATATAAATTATAATATTCGAATAATAAACGAATCGGATCTATTAATATTTGTATTCAGATTCGAATTCGAATATAGCGAATACGAATCATCTTTTTCGAATACGAATAACGAATCGAATACATTTTATTTGATTTGTATGCACCTTATATGGAGGTAACGTTTTGAAACCACATAAATGTTTGAAATAAGTTTTGAAAATATGGGAGGTATTAGATTATATAGCATACGATTATTAATAGGCCTACAATTGAAAAAAGAGAAAGGAAAGTGTGCCACAGAAGATAAACAATGTGACCTTAGTTGGTATTCTATTCGTTTTGGAGTTTTTGATTACTTTTGATGTTTTATCGTTAGACAAATTTAGTTTTTGACCAATAATTAAATATAAAAATTAGAGAGTACTTTCTTCGTCCCAAAAGGAATGTTACATTTCATTTTTTTGTGCATCACAAAAGGACTGCTACTCACATCTAAAAATTCTAAAATTTACCATATTTACTCTTTATTATAAGATGAAATTGTTTTGAAAGTTTTTTTGGCATTTGAGACGATATAAAAGTGTTTTTAGAGATGCGCAAAAAATGAAACGTAATATTCTTTTTGGGACGGAGGGAGTATATAGTATTGTAAGAAAGAAATCTAATAGGGAGTAAATTATTTTGTCTTACTCCGATATACTCCGTATAATATGTAATTTATTTAATTTAGAACTAAAATTTGTCTAATTCAATGGCTATTGGGACAGGGACGAACCAATTTCATTCATCGTCCCAAGGAGAGTGGATCGTAAGTCGTAACCTACGGCTCTGAAAATCCATTCGATTTCCCCTTGCCGTTCTTCATGCAAAATTGCAAAACCCTCATCCAGCTCAAACAAATCCATGCCCATTTCCTCAAATTCTATCTCCCCCAGAGCCCCGCCTCCATAGCTCCGCTTCTCTCCTTCGCCGTCGCCTCCAAGAACCCCGATTTCTTCGCCTACGCCCGCTCTGTTTTCCGCAATATTCAAATCCGGAGCACGTTCTTGTACAATACCATGATCAGGGGATACGTGCAGTGGGATTCGCCGGTGCCTGCAGTTCTGAGTTTCAAGGAGATGCTCAGCTGTAAGATCATTGTGAACAATTATACGTTCACACCCCTGATCAAGGCGTGCTCTCTGGTCTTGGATGACCTCAGGGGACTGGGATTTTCGGTACATGTTCATGTTTTGAAGCTTGGGTTTTGCCGAGATCGTTTCATTGCCAGTGCGTTGATTGAGTTCTACTCGCTGGCTCGTGAAATGGCGAATGCCGGGATGGTGTTTGATGAAATTCCTGACAGAGATGTGGTGATGTGGACGGCCATGATTGATGGGTATGGGAAAATTGGGCAGGTAGAGAAAGCCAGAGAACTGTTTGAGAAAATGCCTGAGAGAAATGTGATCTCTTGGAGCACAATGCTGGCGGCTTATTTGCGGGTTAGTGATTTTAAAGAAGTTTTGTTGATGTACATGAAAATGGAAGAAGTTGGAATCAGGCCTAACGAGGCGGTGCTTGTGAGTGCAGTCACAGCTTGTGCCCATCTTGGCTCATTAGAGCAAGGGTTATGGATTCACTCCATGGCAAGGCATTATGGGTATGAATCAAACCTCATCTTAGCCACTGCATTAGTTGATATGTACTCAAAGTGTGGTAAAATGGACTCTGCTTTATCTGTCTTTCAAGGGATTCCTCACAAAGACACCGGGTCATGGAATGCGATTCTATCTGGTTTCGCAATGAACGGAGATGCATCAAAATCTCTACAACTCTTTGATGAAATGGTGTCAAGTGGGGCCCAACCGAACCATACCACATTCGTCTCCCTTCTTTCTGCCTGCACCCATGCTAAGCTAGTCGACGACGGTCTTCAATTATATGACAAAATGAGCAGTGTTTATGGTGTAAAACCAAGATTTGAGCACCACGCGTGCGTGGTAGACCTCTTAGCAAGGGCAGGTAGGCTAGAGGAAGCCGAGAAGTTCATTGAGGAGAAGATGGGTGGGATAGAAAAGGGTGACCCTTATGTTTGGGGTGCATTCTTGAGTGCTTGTAGGGTACACGGCAACGTTGAAGCTGGGGACAGAATGTGGAGAAAACTGTGTAGTATGAGGGTACCTGACTATGGGACTCACATGCTTTCATACATAATGTATAAGGAGGCTGGTTGGGATGCTGAAGCCAGGAGTGTCAGGCAATCGATTCAGGATGCGGGATTGAAAAAGAAACCTGGATGCAGTGCTATAGAGGTGAACGGATGGCACGGCTGAAGTGTTCTTCGCCAGCCATCTGTTCATCCCTAAAGCCTGCAAAATATCATAATACTTGTTTTTTTTGTGTGTGTGTGTCTCAAGTTGTGTATAAAGAATTGATATGAATCATTATTCATTGACACAACAATTTGGAGGGTGAGATTGTGTACCTCAAGACCCCAACTAATTATATTGGGTCTTGTTGGAACATGTAATTGTAATACCTAGTACAAAGCAAGAAACTACTACCACCATATAATTGGAGGTTGCTATAGTGCCCCCAAGTTGCCCTCAACTTTGCCCCTACTAGTTAGCCTACTAAATCAAATTGAATAATAAGTAGAGCTGGCAAAATGGTCGGGGTTTGAGTTGATGAACTCTTGTTCATGACTCAAAGAATCATTGGTTCGAGCCAACTCAACGAGTTTAAACTTTAGATATCTATTTATAACACATCAACGCCCACTCCAAATCAAAGAATGATATCAACAACGAAAGGAGATTGAGCGTAGTGAACATTTGTAACCATCCATTACCCCTTTTGCACCACTTATTTACCAACTAAGCTACGCCCTCCGGCATCAGAATGCTTTAAAAGGAGTACACAATAAGAAGCAAAAATGAAATGCAAAAGTATTTAGTGAGTGAAGCAATAAGAGTTTTTCGTCAACGAACCCTCCGTTGATCTCTTAGAATATTCTTTCTCCTTATACTTCTTTAATCTTTTGCAGGACTTCATGTGGGAATGTAGTTTCTCTGGATTGAATGGCTTTCCACATTGTCTGCCCCAAAGAAGAAAAAACATATAGCCTTTATATGAAAATGATAATACTACATTACTACTCGGTGTAATTTTGAAAAATTTTTATATGGATTTAAAGTGCGTGGTGGCCGGAACTCTATATGAACCAAATAAGTACTTACTTACTATTGAGATAAGTATTTTTTAACTTTTAATTTTTAAAAAATGAACACAAACTTTGTTAAGAAGGTCCAACCTTATATGCATGATAAAACTTCTCTTTATTTCAAAAAAAAAATTAAATAAATATACTATTTGTTGGCTTTCCAAAATTGAAACATTTTTTTATATGGACTTGAAGGAGTGTGTCGACCATTATGGGGCAAGTCACGGCTCCAATATTAACACCCATTATTAGCCTTCCTTGTTCTTGTGTGTTTGGTTTAGCTTATACTCCCTCCTGACTCTAAATATTTGTTTACTTTTGATTTTTTATAGCCAAAATTAATAAATTTTAACATCAAATTAAATAAAAATGATATTAGATATTGATAAAAAATAATTCTATTAGATTTTTTATATCAAATATTTTCAAAATATTATTTTATCAAATTAATAGACAATGTATATTTTATTTAACTATATATCAAAGGTTGAAAATGGTTGACCTATAAAAGAGGTTATAGTGGTCTTTTAGTAATTATGCATAACTTCACACTTCTATTTTTTTTCTTTAAAATAGCAAGGAATATGTGTGACTTATAGATTTTTTTTTTCTTTTAATTCTTTGAAACCCGTAAAATCAAATAATGAAGTTCTTTTCAAGAGGTAAAATCAAAGTATTTTTCTTATAAAAAGGGAATGAAAAGGGAAAAAGATTCTTTTGAATAATAAAGTGACAAAGCGCAATTCTTTTTTGTGGGAAGAAATTAAAGGGTATTTCACTTACGAACAGTGTGGAGATTTGTTGAAAGGCCTTCGGCCGTACAGCTCCTCGCAGCCTTTCCTGAAAAGTGAAAAACCAATTCATAATTTATTTGTTTTTTTCTGAGCAATTTATTTGTTTTTTATATTCCTTTCGTTCCCAAATTTGATTACGAAGTACAAACTGAAATTTACGAAGAAAAATTGCTCTCTTTTTAAAATTATTTTATTTATAAATTAACAAGAGGTGACAAGAATATTTTATTTTATCGAATATTTAATGAAATCACGTAAATAAACAAAAGTTATCGAGAGGAGAGAGAAAAAAATGATTGTTACAAAAAGTTAAAATTTGATGAATATTAAGGATATTAAAGTGATAATATGTGAGTTTTTTAATATTTTAATTTTAGCATTTCTCAAATGTAAATTACAGTCCCACAAATGAAATTTACTTACATGGGTTTACTATGGCGTTTTTCTTTGTTCCCATTAGAGCTGAAAATCCGCTGGGACCCACGCAGCCTCTCCGTTTTCTTACAACAAATCTCCGAACAATCTTTTTTCTCCGGCAACGGAGCAGGCGGCGGATGCCGGCGCAAGACGGCGGAGTCTTTCGTGTCCACGGTGCCGCAAGTGATGAGATTCCGAAAAATGCCGGCGGAGGGTTGTGGGGCCCCGCCGTCTTCTCCGCCGATTTTCTGTTTCGAGAACAGAGAGCAAAGGGAAGAGGAAGCGGATCTTTCGCCGCCGGTGCTCCGCCGCGTCATTTCTTGCCCTTGAACCTTATCGGCGGATGCGCCGCCGTCCTCGCCGGGGAATGTGGATGTTTCCGATGATGTCTTTCCAGAAAGATTTTGATCCATGGATGTCTTCTTATGGCATTGGCATTGTTCTCTGAGATTTGAGTCTCTCTGCTTGTTGCCCTCAAAATGTGATTTCTTTTGCATTGGGCCTTTTAATTACAGAAGTTGTCAATTAAAAATAGTAAATTAGTCAATGCAAAAATGGTACCTATATAAGTTGATGGTTTTAATTAGCAGAATTTTTTAACCTTTATTTGTTAAGTTCAAAACCCTTTGTATTTTGGATTTTATTTGGCTCCATGTCCACTAAATTTATAGTGTTTGAATCATTTTTTAAAATGTGCACCATAAATCTTGTTATGGAAATGAATTAACAAAATAAAATAATAGTTATTATTTAGAGTTTCTAATAACTTTTGTCTACGTATGTGTTTTTATTGATTATGCGATAAAATAAAATTTACATGTCACAACTAATTTGTACTCCCTCCACCACAAAATGATTTAAATCTTTAATATAACGGTATCTCGATAATTTTTATTTATTTTCTTGTTTTCATTGATCATTTGATAAGATAATACTTCGTATATTTTTGTCACCTATTGTTTTATAGAATTTTTGAATTAATTCGTGAATTTCTAAAGTAAGTTTTATTTTTTATTTTATAACAACTTGTAATTAAAATCATTTTAAAAATCATGAGATTTTTTAGGTGGTTCAAAGACAATAATTCATTTTGAGAGGTAGTTTAAATATTTACGTCATACAAAATACTTTTTATTCTTACAGTAATTTTAAAATAAAATCATTTTAAAAGAGTTGAGATTTTATACGTTGTTCAAAAAAAGATAAATAATTAGGGGGGCAGAGGGAGAAAACAAACACGTCTTACCCCTAATCATCCAATAAATCCACTCTTTACAAAAATCAAGTTTAATCTTTCCATATTTCTAATTATTTTCCTATCTTCATTTAAGTCTAGTTGAAAACTATATGAACTCGATGTCAAATAATAATAAGTTGGTTTATGACAATATTTGGAGTCCTAATATGACTCTTCATTCATTTATTATAAATTTAGTACAGTATTTATTATGCATTTTGGCAACAATTTTAACGTTTGGAATAAAATAGCTAGTTAATAGTAGTAATATTTTCAAAATTATTGCACATTATTAAAAATTATCAAAAACATTAACCATTAATGAAAAACACTTCCCAAAAAAATCTTGGAATGTGTTTGGCACTGCGTTGCTTTTTAGAATTTAACTTATATTTTAAGTGGTAATCATTTTATAATGTTTGGCATACCAACTTCTCCTTTTCTTTACCATCATTTTGTAGATAGAACATCATTTCAGAGAATGAGATATATGATGCTTCTCCTTTCAGCTTTTGTGAAAATCAGTTTACTCACAAGTTAATTACTTCTAAACACCCGTCAATTAGAAGCATTATAAAATAATTATACATGTTTCGTGTTACATTTTAATAATTATACATGTTTCGCAAGGGAATCACCCTGTTTCTCGTGCCATATGTGTGGCATTCGATCCCTTTCTATTACTCTCTCCGTCCGGAAATATTCTTCCCATTTGACTTTTTACGGTCTTCAAGATTGCACTTTGACCACTAATATCTTTATTTATACATGGATATATTTTATAAAAATTTAATATTTGAAAACTATATTTCAAAATGAATATATTCATATTAAATTTATATCGTAACACAATGTATTTTTTCCACATATCATAGTCAAAGTTTATAAACTTTGACCAAGAAAAGTCAAATGGGAAGAATATTTCCGGACGGAGGGAGTATTTTTTTTAATATTTTATTTTTATTGTACAAGAATTTTGTTTCAAAAAGGAGTGCATCAATTTTTATGAAAAAATACTTAAAAAGTTTTTTAATAATTAAAATACGTTTAAAATGACATTTCATTCTCCACTTGTTATTGCCAATGCTTTAAAAAAAATACTCAATTGGAGTATTAATTAGTGAAAGAAGCAAACCATGAAAAATGTGACATTTTGGGCTGTAATTAAAAGCGGATATTTTCACATCGAATAACTGTTTAACTTGTTTTAGCAAATGATAAAAGGGAATAAAAGGAAAAAATAAATACGAAATTAAATTGGCTATTAAAATTGGGTGGTGAGGCATGACAATTGAAAACTCAAGGCAATTTGAAATTTTAGGGTTAGAGTATATAACCACAAGCTTGAGCTTTTGGTTGAATTGGTTCCTTGACATGGTATCAGAGCCTTAATGACCAAGAGGTCACGAGTTCGAAACTCACCGCCACCCATTTTTTTAAAAAAATTAAGGTTTCACGTGCAAGACTCAAAGAGGTCACGCCTGCACGTGAGGGGGCGTGTTAGAGTATATAACAATCATTCATGGGCCATAACCACAAGCTTGAGCTTTTGGTTGAATTGGTTCCTTGACATTTAGTGAGTACATTATTAGTAAAAGGATAGACCCATCCCTTGAGGACCACTTCAGAGTTCAGACCCGGACATTATATGAGTACATTATTAGAGAATCACTAATGGAGAAAAATGAATAGGGAAATAGCCTTTTTCGAGACTTGCACGTGAAATCTTTACTGAGTATAATTTTTTAATCTTAATCACACTGGATTTTGAATTTGTGACCTCTTACTCAACAATGCTTTGACGTCATGTCAAAAAATCAATTCAACCAAAAATTCAATCTCGTGGTTGTGGACTTGTGGCTAGGAAAAGTTCTTTTTATATTATACTAGTAAGTTATAACAAAGAAAAATATCAACTATAATTTTTGTAAATTGTAACCAAAAGTAGAATTTGTATTCTCTATTTTTATACAGGATATTTTTTACCGCAGTACACTGGTTTCTTGTTTAATTTGTTCACTCAATGCCAATATAATTAGGAGACAAATAAATTGCAACGGAGACTTGCCTTTGGTAGGTGTGGATGAGGTAAGTTGGGATCCTTTGAGGACGTATTCATTGTCCGAAATTGGAGTAAGAAGATCATCTTCTCCCATTACATCTTCCCATACATATCCTCTTTTGTATTTCCTCAATACGTAGATACATACATACGAATAAAATGTTTTGATCTGATTAGAATAAATTCTACTTTGATCTGATTATAGTTATATTTAAAATTACTTTTGATGTGATATGATAAATTGAGAAAAACATATATGGCCTTAATTAAAATTAAAGAAAAATAGACCTACAATTACTCAATGTGTCCCATAAAAAATTGGAGGCTTATAATAGAGATATTTTTACACCAAAAAGTTTATCCTAAAGGGATGCACTGGCATTTAATGATTCATGCACAAAATGTTAGTTCAATCAAAATAAGTTATACTGATATTTTGTGTAACTATCACACTAGAATCACACTTGTATAAAATGTTGGTGCATATCTTTGGAGTACAAAATAAAGTATAATTTTTAGGGTACAAATATTTTTTTCCTTCCCATATTTTTAATATAAAAAATGTAGAGTACCAACCTCTTGTATGACCATGCAAATGATTCCGGAAATTCTTTTCCTCTCAATTCCCCCAACCATCCCTTCACGTCTACATTTATTAATAAGGATTATGTTAGCTAATAAAGAGTACGCACTAATTACTATTCTTAATAGCTTTCTTTTTTTAGTACGTCTGAAAAATTATGTTATTATGTTTTCATTGCTTTCAGAAAAGCAAAATTGTAGTTTAATTATTCGCTTATGTAGATACTCTTGTTTCTAAAAATGTCAAATTTTCAACTTTTTGATATCTAAAAAAATCAATACTCCCTCCGCTCCATTAAACCGTTCTTTTTTCATTTTTTCCAATTCCCTAAAACACTTCCACTTTATATTGAAAAACCATTTTTACCCCAATTTTTTCTTTCTCTATCTATCATATCATACTTTTTTCACTAATAACCAAACAATCACATATTACTTTTACCCATCACATTAGGGACAAAATTAGAAAGTCAACCAAAATTACATTTTTCTTATTTTGGATTAAAGTCAAAATGAGAAGTGTTTAAAGGAACTGAGAGAGTATTATATGCATGTCAGATTTATAATATGAAATTTCTCAATATCCTTATTTATTATTACAAACTACAAATTGTATACTACTCCCTCCGTCCCACAAAAAAGTTCCCATTTTGACCATAAATTAGTCAAACTGTTACACACTTTGACCTTAAATTAAATATAATCTAAATAAAGAAATACTAAAAAAAATTTGAGATATCAAAACTAGATCCTAAGATGAATCCAATTATATAAAATTTATTTCATAATTCAATATACCTTTCTCACAATTTATAGTAAAAGCGTGAAAATATTTGATTAAATATTATTCAAAATGGGAACTTTTATGTGGGACGGAGGGAGTACATATTTTAGTTAAGAAATATCCGTATCATATTTAATTTCTATGATATGGAGTAATTCTGAATACGAAATACATTAGTTCTAATTAACATGCATATGGGCTAACAATGCAAATATACAGGTCACATTGTCACAATGCAAATTATTATTTTAAAAATAAAATTATGAAATTTTTATTTTGACACTTTTTTTATATTTTACTTGAGTGATTTATTGAATATAATAGCAAGAAATCTTCGAACTAAAAATGGATAAGATTATTTATTTTATGCATCAATGAAAATAAATAAAGGAAAAGGTTTTCAAAAAAATAAAGAAAAAGAATATAGTTACGGATGAGCAATTAATTTAAAAACCTCTGAGGCGGACACCGTGGCGGCAGAAGGTGTGGACGGAGAAGAGATGCGGGTGTTCGGTGCGGCCTTCCCGGCTGAGAAAATAGATTATGTGAAGCTTCCGGCAGACCTCCGCGGCGGCGCCGCCACCGCGATGAACCTCCATGATCTAATGTCCTGATCGAAAATCGGACGTGCCACCAGTGGCGGAGCCAGAAGCTAGTGAGCGGGGGCACGTTATGAGAGGGGTCAAAGGTGTTGTCACGAATTTTTAAAATAAAATACGGAGCAATATACAATTACAAAAAAACACAATAAATTCTTTCAAATAATTCAAAATATAACAATAAATTAATAATAGGTGCTACTCGCATTTAACACAAAATAAAGTACTCCTAAGTGAAAATTTAATAAGTCATACTCTCTCCCTCCTTCTTAA